AAATGTATAAACATTTTAGCTTCAAAAATAATTATTTAAAATATAGATCCATATTTCTACTATTATGTAGCATAAAAGGACCTAGCATAACAAACATTCTTGGATTGGCATACAAACATTCTTGGATTCAGTTTCTGGAATCTCCAGGAATAGCTGAGAAACAATCCTGTTTGTTTGAAATTTTATCAGCTCTATAGATAAATGCTCGATGGATTACAGGAGTGTAGTCTAGTCTGGATTATAGGAACTTCATATATGTTGGAACTAATTGCCATGATATACTATATCTTATAAGGGACACGGTGGCTCAGGGCTAAGACCAGAAAGGTTGGCAGTTCGGTGGTATGAATTCCTAGCGCCGCATAACGGAGTGAACTCCCGTTACTTGTCCCAGCTTCTGCCAACCTAGCAGTTCAAAAGCAAGTAGAAATGCAAGTAGAAAAATAGGAACCGCCTTTGGTGGGAAGGTAACAGCGTTCTGTGCACCTTCGACATTTAGTCATGCTGGCCACATGACCACAGAGACATCTTTGGACAGCTCTGGCTCTTTGGGTTTGAAATGGAGATGAGCACCACCTTCTAGAGTCAGGAACAACTAGCACCTATGTGTGAGGGGAACCTTTACCTTTGCCTTTTACTGTATCTTATATTTCAGTTGCTCTATGGCTATGCATTTGACTGCAATCTTTTGAAGGCAGGTGTCACTGCTATCATTCACTTTGCATTTCTTTGGAACAAATGCCACAGAAACTCTACTTTGCAACCCCATAGCTCATCCTTAAAATATTTTCAAAAGACATTAGACAAAAGTTTAGATAATAAGTCTAAATGTATAAACAATTTGCAGGACTAGGTACATAATGTTGCTCCCTAAGCATCAGCTTCATCTCCCTTATTTGAGCCATTGCACATTATTTTAAATTTATTTATTTAACAAACTTATAGGATGCCCATCTCACAAGAGTGACTCTATGCAGCTAAATTTATGGACAAGATTCATAAATCACAGCATCTTCCATCTTAAAGACACACAGTTTCAAAGTAAGACCGATACACTTCTAGTGGGAAGTATAGCTGAATACTCTACCAGCAGCAAGTTAGTGATATTCAATATTACAATAGTAAAGACATGAAACAACTCAAAGATTGGGCCTTTAAAGATGTCTTCAACAAACATATGAGATACATCTCCAGTCCTGGATGGTGAAGTCGTGTGTTGAATATTTTCAATGCACATTTTAAAAGCATCTTTCAAATTTTCACAGATTATACGGACACTGATGCACTTAATACCTCCACTTCTTATCTCTTATGCTACATTATTAATAGTCTCTGTTTCTTGTTTCCCTATTTCTTACTTAAAACTATAATTTAATAATTAAATATAATAAAATGGAGAAGGAATGGGGTTTGAAGTAAACAAGAGAATAGAAAAGTGGTATGGAAAAGTTGCAGAATTTTCAAACCAGTTTCTTATCTGTCAAATTGACCAAGTACTATTCTCTTCTATGCAATTATATATCAAATGCAAAGATGAGAATTTTCTGTGATTTGGCTTTTGAGGGGTGCATGATTGTGGGCTTTGCTTGAAATACAAAAATCAAACCTTGGACAACTTATTTATCATTCCATGAAAGGTCCTTACTTTTATTAAATGTTGAAACAATTCTATTTTTAGGAGATCATTTTAAATTCCTAATCACATATTGGTGTGTACTATGTCTAATTAAAAACAGTATGACTTTCACATTGATACTGATTGCTAAAGTAAAGCTCCTATGATAATACACATATTTCAGTGTCTGCATTTTGCTCTGAAATTAAAAAGAAATGAATCAACAGTTAAAACAGCCTTTAATTTAGAAAAATGGTACTTCAAAGGAAAATTGCTATGGAACTACATTAGAGAAGGCCATAATTCCTTTCCTTTAATCAGGATGTGTAATTTATTTAAATAATATCAATCTCAACTACTATGTTGTGTACCAATGAAGATCTACAATTGCTTTCTCTTTATGAATTTTTCCTACTATTCGGGGTGGGATTTGTATGAAATTTGGCAAATATTGGCATCAAACCGAATAAATTTTTCATATAAGTTTGATTAAAAAACCCTCTAAATTGAATATGTGAAAAATAAAACTTATTTTTCAATACAAGAAAATATATGCATTCAGGGTTGAAAGCAAATACCAAGATCAGAGAGTAGCAAGGACTTTATAATTTATGTAAGTTTATTCCTTCTTTACTCCCTTATTTTCTGTTTGTTGACAGATGTTTCCAAAACGGGAGAAGAAATGGCTTAAAGAATGGTGAACAGAAAAATTCCACTTAACAACCAGAAGACACATCAAGCAGGCAAGTGTTGGCAAGATCCATGTACCTTGGGAGAAAAAATACTGCCAATCTCCACCCATGGAATAGAATAAATGTGGGCATTTATAAATGGAGTTAAAACAGTGTATTATTCTGTTTAAGAATAAGCACATACTCCTTTACTTTCTTCGGCGACATATTCTGTATTATGTCAAGCCACAGGCAGAATAGAACATTTGTATTCAATGCTTTTCCAAAAGAGCTTATTCAGACTTTCACTTTAAAAAGCTATGCTTTCTTTATGGCAGGAAAATGTATTCATGCAAATACTGACAGTTCAAAAGAGTTTCTTCAAATTTAAAAAATTGGGGGAACTAATGGGAACATTTTAAGGTATATTATTATTATTTTTTCTCTGTTTGCACAGATGAGGGAGAAGAATCTGACCCTGTCTATCTTTTTTTTGGCTGAATTATTCCAGGAAATATTTCTTAAGCGAATCCATGAATTGATATTGATCTTGGAACACTTTCAAATTATATGAATTCATTCAGGTTTTGATATTAAACCTGAAGGTGATTATCAGAGCTGAGGGCAGCATATTTACGTGAAAAGATATAGTGTTATGAGTATTTGCTAGAGGCATGATTTCTCAGTCTGAAAGGGAGTGTGATCATGATGGACGGCTACACAGGCTGCATGATCTCGGTGGAACTCCAGTGTAAAGGTGACATAATACAAGTATTCCATCTCCATTTGAATTGCGATGTTTTCTCTCTTCTCTAAATGACACACTTGCAGGATGTTGTACTACAAGTTCAGGGTCATATTCATAATATGAATGATATTCATAATGTAGAGATGGAGAATAAACTTTACTCAAAGTGAACAAGAAATTTCATTTAGAAAGCAATGTGTTTCCATTGGTATATATGCGTTCAATTAATCTGGAATCTGAAGAAAAAGCTTTGGGCTTTAATGGACAGATCTGCTGAGATTAAAACAGTGCTTTCCTGTTATTATCTTTAATAAATTTGTATACTGTATTTTTCAGAGTATAAGATGCACCTTTTCCCCCAAAAAAGAGGATGAAAATTTGGGTGCATCTTATACTCTGAAAAATACAGTATACAAA